GAGGCAACTGAATCAGAAGGGTGGTTACCCCCATGCTGCTGTTCTCATGATAGTCAGTTCTCACAAGATCTGAAGGTTTTATAAGGGGCTTTTTCCCCTTTGCTTGGCACTCATTCTCCTTCCTGCCACCATGTGAAGGAAATGTTTGCTTCCCCTTCTGCCATAATTATAAGTTTCCTGAGGCCTCCCCAGCCCTGTGGAACTGTGAGACAATTAAACTTCTTTTGTTTATAAATTACCCAGTCTCAGGTATGTTTTTATTAGCAGCATGAGAATAGACTAATATACTGTTCAACAGCAGAAAAATGTAAATTAGAACCACAATGAATTATGACTACAAACCTACAAGAATAACTAAAATAAAAAATAGCAAGTTGCTGCTGGCAAGGTTGCAGAGAAACTGGATCATTTATACATTGCTTATGGGAGTGTAAAATGGTACCACCACTTTGGAAAATAGTTTGGCAGTTGTTTATGAAACTAATATGCAACTACCAAACAATTTAGTAATTGTATTCTTAGGTAGTTGTTTCAGAAAAATGAAAACAGGTTTACACCAAAACCTGTACACAGGTGTTCATAACAGCTTTATTTATAATAGCTCAAAACTAGAAACAACTAGTTACCCTTTTCTGGGTAAACTCTTAAACAAACTTTGGTGCGTCCATACCACAGAATACTACTTGGCAATAAAAACTAACAAAAAAATTGTTTACATTTTTCTATCTGCTTTCCAACTTTCTATGTACTCAGATTGGACTAACAACTTTGATAAATCTCCAAGAAACAAAGCCGATCACAAAAGGTTACATAGTCTATGAATCCAACTATATAACATTCTTAAAATGGCAAAATTACAGAAATGGAGAACACATTCGTAATCGCCAGGGGTGAGGTGAGGGAGGTGAATGTGACTATAAAACAGCAACTTGAGGAATCTTTGTGGAGATGGAACTGTTCTACACCTTAATTGTATCAATGTCAATATCCTGGTTGTGATATTGTACTGCAATCTATAAGATGTGACCCCAGGGGAAACTTAATAAAGGACACATGGAATCTCTCTATATTATTTCTAACAACTGCATGTGAATCCACAATCATCTCAAAATAAAAATCTTAATTAAAAGAAACTACACTGGCACCTACATCTTTCCTTCCTTCCCAAAATGTTTTTCATAGTCTGTTTTCTTTACCTTAGAACCTAAGCTCTTTCAAGAACTATTAAATATTTTGTAAAGAAATATCTAAAGTTTAATAACAATACTTCTGCAATTCTAATTTCAAATTATTTTTTCTGATAAATTCAAATATAATATGTATATTTTAGTTTAAAGTAACTAATAGGGCATTTTTTTCAAAGGTATTCTTTATCTTTCTTGGTATGTGTGAGTGTATGTGACTGTGGTTCTTTTTGTTTTTACTTTTCATAAAGGAGCCATACGAAGTGATAACATGCCCAAAATAGACAAAAGTTATTCTGGGATATAAGCACTAGAATTTCATCAATATTTTCCTTTATATTTGTATGTATTACTTACATTCTTATAATGTGTATAAAAGTCTAATTTAACATTATAATTTATATACATATGTATAATTAGCTTTCATCATTAGTCTACAGATTATAATTATACCTTCATTTTATGTCCTCATGTACATTCATAAACACTGACTATATTTTACAACATAAAGAAAATGCCAAAGAAATTTTCAAAAAATAACAATAGTATAGTCAATGCAATAAAAGTTGACATTTTTTAAACAGAAGAAGAACACCTAAAAGAATTATCTCTATAACTGTTAGTCCAATCTGAGTATATGGAAAGTTGGAAAGCAGATGGGCAAACAGTAAACTCTAAGACATGGGTTTATAGGCTATTATTACCCTTTTTGTACTTTTCTATATTCATATTTCATAAAATATAAACATGTGTTTTTATTTAACAATATAAATTTATGTATACAATAAATCCCTATATCAATGAGTTCAGACTATACTTTAGTAACAACCCCAAATTTTAGTGGATTACAAGAGAAGTTTATTTCTTAACCACATTACATGTCAATTATAGACTGGTTTCTACTCTACTCCTTGTCATCTGCAGGAATCTAGGCTGAAGAAGCAACTTCTATATCAGTCTCAAGGACAAAGAAAAAGAGAGGCTGGGAAGACCATGTGGTGTCTCTTAAAGCATCTTCTCAGAAATGCCACTTTTGCTCACATTCCATTGGGTAAAACAAAACATTTGGCCAAATCTGAAGTCAGCAAGGTAGAAATGTATAATTTTTCCTTTGGGAGGGACCCTAATAGAAAAGGGCAGCATACATTTTGAATAAAACAATCTATCACAAGGGTAAATTTTTTATGTATATCTATGTACAGGCATATTTGTGTGTGTACATATGTGCACATGTGTGTGTTTATATATTTTTTTCATAGTCAGAAAGAAACACAATATGATGCAAATGGAGGCTCTAAATTATTTTTGATACGCAAATAAAAATAAGCCCTTAAATTTGTTAATAAGGAGTTCAGTGTGACCAAAGTCGAGAAACTGGTTAGGCCAATAGCTAAATTGTAAGAGTTGAGATAAGAGCTGAAAAAACCAGACTAACACTTAAGAAAAGAAGAGAGGCAGTATAGCAGCTGAAGGAGTTTAATGGATGATAGAAATGAGACAGTATAGGAAAGGGATTCAGCCCTGGTAGACCAGAGATGATAATGAAGACCCCATGAGCCTCACATATCAAGGCATATTCTCTCCCCTACCTTTCCATCTCCCTTAATAAGCTGACCCAAGTCACATAGCAGAAGGAGGACCTCTCCTAACTTAGCTGACTAGGCTGAATTCCTAAAGAGCAAAAAAAGAAACTAACCGTTTATCTCTTTGAAGTGATATCTCCCAAGGTTACTAAAAGTGGGACTCTAGCATTCCTAATAAGAACCTGACCATCGGCCGGGCGCGGTGGCTCAAGCCTGTAATCCCAGCACTTTGGGAGGCCGAGGCGGGTGGATCACGAGGTCAAGAGATCGAGACCATCCTGGTCAACATGGTGAAACCCCGTCTCTACTAAAACTACAAAAAATTAGCTGGGCATGGTGGCACGTGCCTGTAATCCCAGCTACTCAGGAGGCTGAGGCAGGAGAATTGCCTGAACCCAGGAGGCGGAGGTTGCGGTGAGCCGAGATCGGGCCATTGCACTCCAGCCTGGGTAACAAGAGCGAAACTCCGTCTCAGAAAAGAAAAAAAAAAAAAAAAAAAAAAAAAAAAAAAAGAACCTGACCATCTTCCGAGTTTACTGAAGTGAGGTTCTGGCACTCCTGATAAGAAATGGAACAGATCCAGTCTGCTAAAGACAAGAAGGACTCCAACACTGACCTTTCACTAATGTTTTCCTCATTATAATCTCATCTTAATACTAAAATCTCCACCCAAGGCAGAGCTTATCCACCATTTTCTGATCATGCAATGTGTATCAGGGCATGATGCTCCATTACACAAGTGCAAAGAAAATTTTCCCTAAATATGGTTGTACATCATTCCATTTTTTGCCTCAGCTTCTAAAATGACAACAGCTGAGCCTCAGGGAGCTAGCACCAAGATCCCTTTCCCATAAACTGCGCCCTTGCTGACTGAGCCACAAGCCTATTAAACCTTGCCTGAGAAAAAAATGTCTATTTGGTTTGGTGTTAATTTATACTTACATGAGAGTCAAAGAACTTGGGATACAAGCTACAGTAACAGAAGTCTTATTAATGTTTATTGACTGAAGTAAAAATTAAAGATTGCTGAGGGTTTAATAGCATCAAAGAGTTAAACCATAGAATTCCTCTTCTACTGAAATTGTAGCATAAAAGTAAGCATGAATCTTATTGCAAATCACGGGAAAGCTATTTTGTTATTCCTTTAAAAGACGTTTATTGAAAATGTAAAAATTTTAAAACGCTGTATACTCAGATAAAGGTAAAACAAAGATAATTATGGCATAATTAGCCCTTGAAGAGCTTGCAATATAATAAGGGGCACAGAGTAAAATAACCATTTTAACATTAAAAACAAAGTGCTATGAGATTACACACATATATAGTAAGCCCACAACTAGAAGATGAAAGATCTGTGAAATTTTCCAAGATAGAGAAGGATTAAAGGAATTAAATCCAGGAAACAAAGTAAACAAAGTCTCAGAGGCTTGAAATTGAAAGTGTAAGAAACTGTAAATTAAATTAGAAAAAGCATTTAACTAGAAGATCTATCAAAGCTGTTCCAGAGTGATTAAGAGAACAGGTTTGAAGCCATGCAAAAATAGACCTAGATTTGAATTCTAGTCATTCTGCTCTCTTACTGTGTAATCTTGAATAAATAATGTAACCTCTGTAAAAATAAAGATAATAAAGTATTGCACATAACATTGCTGTAAAGATTAAATTAAATGTAAGCAGGGTACTCTAGTCATTCTGCTCTCTTACTATGTAATCCTGAATAAATAATGTAATCTCTGTAAAAATAAAGATAATAATAAAGTATTGCATATGACATTGCTGTAAAGATTAAATTAAATGTAAGTAGGGTACTAAACACAGTTCCTATCTCACAGAAAATAAAAAAAAAAAAAAAAAACTAGTATTTGTCATTTATAGTGTGAATCAATTCACTCTGTAAACTGCAAAACGCTATAGAGATAGCCTTTTTTCTGAAACATGATGAATACCTTCAAAAGAAACACATCTAAATATATGAGCATTTTAATATGAGATAATACTACTCAAATACAGTATAAAGTGTTCCTTTTCTTAAAAACACACATATTTACATGTGTTTTACATTTACATTAGGAAATATTCTAAATGTTTCTAGAAAAAAGCTTATGGGGAAAAACTATTTTCTTATCCCATTACTGAAATTTATCATATTATTTTATAATATGACATATTTCTAAAAATCCAAAGTTGCCCCTAAACCTTATAATCATTTTATCTGTAACGCCACAAAACCTACTTTTTCTTCTCTTTCTATTTCAAGTTGCTTCTTAACAGACAAAAGTTCATTTCTAAAATTGGATAGTTCAATCTCCTAAAGAAAAAGAAACATGAAGTTTTAAGAGCTTCCATGTATTTCTCAAGACAATGAAAATATAAACTAGTGCTCTGAGTAAATTCAACTTTGTAGAGAAATAAATTCACTCATAAAATATAGATACTTTTAAAGTCAACTAATATAAAGGCTGCTAGCTGAACATAGCTCAAGACCTCATTTAAACAAGTTTTTTAGGCTGGGCACAGTGGCTCATGCCTGTAATCCCAGCACTTTAGGAGGCAGAGGCAGGTGGATCACTCGAGGTCAGGAGTTCGAGACCAGCCTGGCCAATATGCTGAAACCCCATCCCTACTAAAAATATTAATATAAAAATTAGCTGGGTGTGGTGATGCACATCTATAGTCCCAGTTACTCAAGAGGCTGAGGCAGGAGGATCACTTGAAGCCGGGAGGTAGAGGTTGCAGTGAGCCATGATCGTGTTAGTGCACTCCAGCCTGGGCAACAAAGACAGGCTCTATCTCAAAAAAAAAGTGTTTTATAGTTTTCTTTAAAGAAAAATTTAACACAAAGTATATCTCTCCTTGTTCTCTCCCAATTTATCCTACTCTCCTCTCCCAATTTCAATCGAAGGTCCAAATTTGTTAATTGGAGTTTATAACATTTCACTTGGAAAAAAGTTTGTTCCACTATTTTGAAAATTAAATTAGAAAAAACATTTAAATAGAAGGGCTATAAGATCCCTTTCACATTTAAGACTCATTCTATAGATCAAAAATTAGTTTTACTTAGTATTATTCTTTACCACCACTCACTGCTAACATTAGGAAAACTGCCATTTTTTCTGTATCTCACCAAAGATGCTGTCAGTGATGTCTGCTCCTGTTCTTTGCTCTTGTAAAGTCCTAATTCTGAGTCTCTTTCTTCAATGATCTTATCATATTGGTGCTATATTAAACAAAGAAGACATTTTAGGCGTATTAAAACTGAATAGATTATAAAATTGGTATTCTAACATTTTATTTAATATTTAATTTAGTATTTAATTATTTAGTATTTAATTTTGCAGAAAAATGATGGTTATAAATTCAGTAATATATATGGGTATATGTATTTCTAATGATTCAATAATATTTTTTATTCAAACAACCTCAACAGTGAAACACTCAACAGTCTTGGAAATAACCTAAGAGCAGAAGATGATTCTTTTATTGGAAACATTGAATTTTAAGATTTAAAAATATGACAGAAACATCAAGACTTCTACAAAACTGACTGATTGCAAATCTGGGACAGGAAATATAAGCCTTAAACATTTTGTCATAACTCAAAGAAAGTTATCAGAGAAAATTAAAGTTAAGTCAAAAGAACTTGCCAGCCACCTTGAAGAGGCTCCTGCTGGCCAAACGTGGGAAAATGTGAGTTCTCAATAAGGACACATGCTGCACTGCATTGAAACATACCAAACTTGTTTAAATCCATGAGCTCACAATGTTATTTAAATTATGTTTTAAAATCCTCACTGGTTCCCTCATAATAATCTCTTATTCCAGCAGCTTTTTTTTTTTAATGAATGGGTAGGTATACCCTACTTCTTCCCCAAATCTTAAGAATGAGGCTTAGTTCCTTAACAGATGGATACTCTAAAACAACAATTAAAAATATAAGACACAAACAGATCAAACACTAAGCATTTTATCTATTTTGTCCTTTGATAAAAATTAATTTAGCCTATTATGTGTTAGATATACCTACAGAATACAAATACCAATGAAATATTTATCCTGGGCATGTACTTAAAAATATATAAGGTAGAAAGTGCTATAAGAGACTACTAGGAGAATCCAGAAAAAGAGTGATTACTTCCATTCATCACAGATAATAGAGATTTCCTCAAGGAAGTCACACACAGGCTCAAGTTTGCACGGTTAAGATCTGAACTTAGAGAAATGGGCATCAAAGGTATTCCAGCTACAGTCAGTCACTGTTGCATAGATAATAATCTTTTCTGACAAATAAGAATACTATCTTGATTTCACCATTTTTAACAGAAATATGGCTCCAATTAATAATTTTCATGATATAAGATGAAAAAAATTACCTTATGTTTTTCCATAAGTGCTACCATTTCAGCTATTTTATGTTGACATCGTATATCAATTTCTTTCTGTAATTTTACTGCTTCATCAGCTATTACTTTTGCTTTCTTAACCTATAAAATAAGCAAAAAAATTTCTTAAAATCAATGCACAAAAGACAAACTTAAGTGTTAATAGTATTCTACTTAAATAAAATGTTATTTAAGTGTTCTACTTAAATAAAATGCAAACTTCAAACACCAGGAAACTGGAAAAACAAGTAGAAAATGCACTGTTTGAGGTTTTTTCAGGGTGTTCTATAAAGTAAGATGACAGTATAACACTGTGGCAATCATTTCATCCTTTCAAAATAATTATATACTCAAACACTTAGAATAACAAGGATAGTTTTAGCTTCTATAAAAATAAACTGACCCTAATATAAATTTACTAAACCTTTTTTTAAACCATAGTTTAAAATTTAAGAATTTTTTACTTTTCTCTTAAAATTCTAATAAAAATATAGATTTTTAGTATAATAAATTCTGAAATTAAGTTTTTCCCACCTCGCCTAAAAGATTTTCTTCTGATATCTTTTTGTCATCAATTTCCTTCTGATAGCTGTCAGTCATTTCTTGAAATTTCTGTTTGGCACTTTCTAGTTCCAACTCTAATGTATTGACCTTTACGTAAAGAAAAATAGCATGAATATTAGTAAACGCTATGGATTGCTTGAAAATATTCCATATTCATTTTGTGGATTTATGAATTTTAAAAGATTTTTTAAGATTCCTTATACTTTCATATGATGAGATGTGTTTTATTTTCTCAAAATCTATCTTCTCCCCTAAAATATGTATTTAGTCTTGACAAGTAATATAAAATAAGCACCCATGCATTTATTTTTAATGAATTTCTCAACAATATTTACATTGGTTACTCTCAATGAGTTTAATATGCTTTATTAGTATGTCCATTTGACAGAAAACTCACGTGATTCAAAGAAAAGGTATATTCTTAATGAGATTAATTTTCTATAGAGAAGCAACAACTTCCATTTATATTATTTTCACATACTTTGTATAAATATTTACTGAGTTGTGTAGGTATAATTCATATATACAAATTATCAAGAGGGAAGGAAAGCCCTGAATTAGCACTCTTCATATTCACTGTTATCTTAGATTTTTACTGGAGAGGTGTTATATGGCAAGAATAGGAATTAGGAAGAGGGGTATGAGTAATATAATGATGAATCAGACTGTATTTTATATCCATAAGTCAATCACCAACTTTAAAATATAGACCATTACCAATATTGATAAAAACTGTTAAATGCCCCTCCTTCTTCATTAGTTTTCCCCTATCACCCTTTCAAGTATAACGGACATTCTCAATTTATATTCCCTTACTCTTCTTCATAGATTGCATAATTATGTATCCCTAAAGTATATTTCAAGATTTTTTGTTTTTGAACTTTATATAAATGTTTTCTTTTCTGGCTTGCTTTTCTCATTGAACAGTTACGTTTGAGATATTTATGTGTATAAATACAGTTCATTCATTTTCACTGCTGAGTAGTGTTCCATTGCGTGAATAAACACTGTTTATTTATGTATTCAATTGTTCAGGGCACTGGGTTGTCTCCATTTTGGGGTTGATACACACAATAATGCTATGAATGTTCTTATAAATAAACATCTCCTGGTTTACAAGAACGTAGAATTTCTCTATAGTATATACCTAGGATTGGAATTGTCGGGTCATAGGGCAGGTTACATATTCAACTTTACAAGATGACATTATTTTCCATATGCATTTACCAATTTAAATTCCCAGCAACAGGGTTATGACTTTTCCTGTTTCACAACCTCAGCAAGAGTTGATAGTATCAGACAAAAGTATTTGACTAAGTTTTGTCATTTAATTTGCATTTTCCAGAAAATTATGTAACATGTTTACCTCTTCATGTCTTCTGTTCTGTGACCATCTCTGTTCATATATTTTACTCATTTATCTACTTGGTGCTTCATTTTCTTCTTAATTACATTTAATGGGTTCTAATTTTTTTTCATTATATATGTAAAGTGGGGATATTCCTCCAACTTTCAGGTTTGTTGCTTTCCTTTCCAAGTAACCAGAAATTATTATAGTATATAATAATTTATCAATATTTTCAAATATGGTTGTGTCTTTTTACCTTATTTAGGAAAATTTTCAACACCAGGCCACAAAAATACTTTCCCATATCTTCTTCAAATATTCTGAATCCCTGCCCTTCACACTTATATCCTTAAGGAATTTGTGTTTGTATGCAGTGTAGACATAAACTTTCATATTTTTACATATGATCAAATGTTCTAGCACTACATATTTGCAATATCACTCTGTATTGTGTCTAGTTACCATACACCTGGATCTTTTCCTAGGCTTCTCTTTTATTCAACTGATTTGACAACTTCTGTGTAAATATCATTCTGTCTTAACTACCTTAGCTATGGAATTAATCTTTATATCTGGTAGGGCACATTTTCCTACTTTGTTCTTAAAAATTGCTTTAGTTTTTCTTGGCCTATATGATAATTTTGGTTAAATAGTCTGAGTGTTCTTGAAAAGTATGTTTTCCTCATTTTCGAATACAAAATTATCCTTATTTCTCCAACAGTGTTAAAAGATAGGTATGTTATAGACAAAATTCCAATTCAATGTTGACAGTAAACTTCTCAGTCCATGAAAATACTTTCCTATTGTTTTCTGACTTCTATCATTGTTTGTTGAGATGTCCATGGCCAATCTGTTATTCCTTCACTGGTGATCTTCCATTTCTCTCCAGCTACTTTTAATACTTCTATGTGCCCAATATTCTTGAATTATAATATACTAAGTCTAGATGTGGATTTCTTTTAATTTTTCTTTCCTGGCATAAATTTTTCTTTCTATATCTGTGACTTCATGTATTTCATCAATTCTAAATATTCTCATTAGAGGTTGTATAGATATCATTTATATATACAAATGATATGAATGCTTGGGGCCAAAAATGTTTCAGATTTCAGATGTTTTCAGATTTGGAAATATTTACATATACCTAATGAGATATCCCAAGGATGGGACCTATGTCTAAACACAAAACTAATTTATATTTCACATATACCTTATACACATAGCCTGAAGGTAATTTAATACAATATTTTAGTAATTTTGTACATGAAAAAGTATGTGTTAAGTACTTATGCATGGAATTCTCCACTTGTGGCATTATGTCTGTGCTATAAAGCTTCAGATTTGGGAGCATTTTAGATCTTGGATTTTCAGATTAGAAATGTTAAGCCTGTAATTACTGCTTATCCCCAATTCACTCTATTTTTTCCTTCTTCTTGGACAATACAAAACCCCTAGGGAAACAAATCATCAAAGTGCATGACAACTGTAATAGTATACTAACATACAAGACATAAGAGATAAAGGAGATAATGTAGTCTAAGGCCAAATATGCCAGTAAAAGAGACAAAGATTGCCAGAGTGCATAAAGTTATAAACTCTGGCTACATGCTATTTATAAGAGATATTTAAAACATAAAGATATATAAAGGATAAGAGTAAACAGATTTAAAAGCTATAACAAGCAAACACAAAACAGAATACAACTGGTATAGTTATAAAAATAATATAAAATCTTGCTCTAAGACAAGAAGCACTACTAGAGATAAAGGAGTTATCTTAACAACAATTTCTATTATATATAAATATATAAAATATATATTAACTATACAGTTGACCTTTGAACAACATGGATTTGAACTGCATCCATTTATATGTGGATTTTTTCAACCAAATTTAAATGGAAAATACAGTATCCGCAGGATATGAAACCCACATATATGGAGAACCAACTTTTTATTTGCACAGATTCCACAGGGCTGACTAGGAGATAAGAGTACGCACAGATTGGGCCGGGCGCGGTGGCTCAAGCCTGTAATCCCAGCACTTTGGGAGGCCGAGGCGAGTGGATCACGAGGTCAAGAGATAGAGACCATCCTGGTCAACATGGTGAAACCCCGTCTCTACTAAAAATACAAAAAATTAGCTGGGCATGGTGGTGCGTGCCTGTAATCCCAGCTACTCAGGAGGCTGAGGCAGGAGAATTGCCTGAACCCAGGAGGCGGAGGTTGCGGTGAGCCGAGATCGCGCCATTACACTCCAGCCTGGGTAACGTGAGTGAAACTCCGTCTCAAAAAAAAAAAAAAAAGAGTACGCACAGATTTTGGTATTCATGGGGGGTTCTGGAACCAATCCTCCATGTATAAACCAAGGGAACAACTATACCTATAAAGTTCTATCATATGTAATAAAAAGGTATATATATTCTAAATAATGCACATCCAATAATGTGACCTTGAAATAAAAACAAGTTAACAGAACTGCAAATAAGAGAACAGAAATCCACAATCATTGTGTAAAATTTTTAAACACATCTATCTTAGTCAACTATTTAATAAAACACAAAAACTGAGCCGAGATACAGAATCAAAAAAGATACACAAATATAAAGAATATAACTGGTAATCTTTACATAATGGAACACTTCACCCAACATTATTTATGTAATATACATTATTTTCAGGTAAGTAAGGCATGTTTATAAAAAGTGACCTCATATATTGAGCCATCAGGCAAATTCAATAAATTTCAAAGTACTAAAGTCACACCAGAGTGTGTTCTCTAATAACAATTTAATTATGCCAGAAATCAGTAACAAAAACACAACATTTCCCTTAAATTTAGAAATTAAGAAATACATGAGGGCATTGGGCTAAACAATGCTAATTTACTATATATCAAAACCTATAGGACAGCAATACTTAGTGGGAAATTTATAGCCTGAAAATGTGTACTTAGAAAGACTGAAAATTAATGATCTAAGAATTCATCTTAAGATAGGGCCAGGCGCGGTGGCTCACACCTGTAACCCCAGCACTTTCAGAGACCAATGTGGGTGGATCACTTGAGGCCAGGAGTTTGAGACCAGTCTGGCCAACATAGTGAAACTCCATCTGTACTAAAAATACAAAAATTAGCCAGGCATGGCAGCACATGCCTGTAATCCCAGCTACTCAGGAGGCTGAGGCAGGAGAAATCAGTTGAATCCAGGAGGTAGAGGTTGCAGTGAGCCAAGATTATGGCCACTGCACTCCAGCATGGGTGACAGAGCCAAACTCCATCTCAAAAAAAGAAAAAAACTTCCCAAATCGACAAACTCCTGGTAACAGTGACAAAAAACAAAAGAAGGGACAAATAACCAACATCAGATTAAAAACAGGACATTACTGTTTTTTACAGTAAATGCTACAGACAATTCAGAAACTGTAGAAAATATAGATGAACTGGATGAAATCCGAAAAATATTATTTATCAAATTGAAGAAACAGGATAACTAAGTTATGCTATAACTATGAGTAAATTGTTTCAGAAACTAAAAGCCTTTGCACAAAGAGAACTCTAGGCCCAGTAGCTTTCATTGGTGAGTTCAACTTTAATGAGACATAATATACATGTAATAAAGTGCATGGCTTTAAGTGTAAAGTATAATGAGCTTTGACAAATTGTTTTTTTTTTTTTTTGGAGACAGAGTCTTGCTCTGTCACCAGGCTAGCATGCAGTGGCACGATCTTGGCTCGCTGCAACCTCTGCCTCCGGGTTCAAGCAATTTCGCTGCCTCAGCCTCCTGAATAGCTGGGACTACAGGTGCGTGCACGCCCAGCTAATTTTTGTATTTTTAGTAGAGATGGGATTTCACCATGTTGGCCAGAATGGTCTCGATTTCCTGACCTCGTGATCCACCCATCTCAGCCTCCCAAAGTGCTGGGATGACAGGAGCACCTCGCCCAGCCAACAAACATATGAGAGAACGTATTCTGTGAGACTTCAGTCTTTCAAAAGTATGGAGACTTGTTTATGGCTTAGCATACAGTCTATTTTGGTAAGCATTCTATATGAATTTCAATTGAATTTATAATTGCAGGTAGAGTGTTCTATAAGTATCAATTAAATCAAATAGTTAAGAGTGATGTTCAGATTTTCTATATCCTTCCAGATGTTTTACTAGTTGTTGTATCAGTTGTTGAAAGAGGAGTATTATGAGTATGGCATTTTTCATTGCTTATTTTATTACGGTTTTACTTCATTTATTTTGAAGTTCTATTATTAGGTACAAAGATATACTTAGTTGTTATATCTTTTTAATGAATTGACACCTTTACCATTATAAAATGCCCCTATTGATCTTTAATAATATTATTTGTCTTATATTTGTGTTATTGAAATTGTCTTACTATTCGAAGTGTCACTCTACTTTCATATGCTTACTATTGGCATGATTGTATTTCTTTCTTTTATCTTTTTCCCTTAAACCTCTTTGTGTCTTTATATTAAATACAGTGTGTCTCTAATAGCAGCATATGGTTTGCCCTTGATTTTTTTTATCCAGAATGATCATTTCTGCCTTTTTATTGAAACATTTGTCCATTGACATTTAAAGTAATTTATTGATACGGTTGAGTTCAGGTCATTATGCTATTTGTCTTCTATTCGTATCTGTTTTTTGTTTCTCTGCACTTCCTTATGAGTTTATCAAACTTTTTTCGTATTCTATTTCATTTTAATTCTTCTATTGGCTTTTTTGCTATTGTTGTGGACTGGATATTCCCGCAAAATTCATATCTTGAAATCCTACCCACAATGTGATAATATAGTAGGGCCTGTGGGAAGTGATTAGATTGTAAGGGTGGAGCCTTCATTAACGAAATTAGTGTCCTTGTTAAAAAAGGATCCCAGAGAGCTCTTTTGCCCCTTCTGCCATTTGAGAACATAATGAGAAGATGGCTGTTTATGAACCAGGAACCAGATACTAAATCTGCCAGTGCCTTGATTTTAGACTTCCAGTCTCCAGTACTATAAGAAAAAAATGTTTATTGTTTATACACCACCCAGTCTATGGTACTTTGTTATAAAAACCTAAACTAAGACAGCTATACTTGGTTGCATTATTTTGTAGTGGTTGCTCTAAGGAGGATAGTATGTATCACTAACCTATCAAACTCTACTTAAGAGTTAATAATGTACTGTTTCATATGTAATATAAAAATGTTACAACAAAATAGCTATATTTGCTCCCCTGTCCTTTGTGTTATGGCAGTCACATAGATTATAAACTCTATAATAGCAATTTTTTTTCCTTTAAGCAGCCATATATACCCTTTTAAAATAAAAGAAAAATATATCATCTTTTAAATTCATCTTAATATTTACCATTTCCAGTGTTTCTCATTTCTTCTCCTGATCCAAATTTCCATCTAATGCCATTTTCCTTCAGCTTGGAGAAATTCCTTTAGTATTGCTTAGGGTACAGCTTTTAATGTCATGTTATCTTCATTTTTTATAAATATTTTTTGCTGCATACAGAATTCTGGGTTGATGGTTGACTTTTGTTAGCATTTTATAAATGTCATTCTTTGGTCATCTGGCCTTCACTGTCCTGATACAAGGTCAACCATCATCTGTGTCGTTGTGCAATGTGACATTTTTTTCTTGTCTGCTTTTAAAAGTTTCTTTTTATCTTTGGTTTTAAAACTTTGACTAAGATATGACTGCTTACATATGGTTTTGTGTCTATCTTGCTTTGGATTTGGTGAGGGCCATGAATCTGCAAGTTTGTTTTATATTAAATGTGGGAAATTTTTGAGAAATTCCTCAATTAATTTTATTTGCCCAGGTCAGGCACAATCACTCACACCTGTAATCCTAGCAACTGGGGAGGCTGAGGTGGGTGGATTACTTGAACCCAGGAGTTCAAGATCAGCCTGGGAAACATGGAAAACCCCCTATCCCTATCAAAAATACAAAAATTAGTTGGATGTGGTGGCATACACCTGTAGTCCCACCTACTCAGGAGGTTGAGGTAGGAGGTTCACCTGACCTCAGGAGGTCGAGGCTGCAGTGTATTGTAATCACTCCACTGCACTCCAGCCTGAATGACAGAGTGAGAGTCTATCTCAAAAATAAAAACTGTATTTGCCCTATTCTCTCTCTCTTCTTATTTGGGGACTCCAATTACACTCTTAAAAACACTTGCTATTGTTCTACAGGCTGCTGACACTTGATTCATTTGTCTTCAATCTACTATTAGGATCATTTGGTTTTGGTTTTGGTTTTTAAGAACATTTTACTTTTCAGTTTTAGAACTTCCATTTGATTATTTTCAGTTTCCATTTCTTCACTGAGATTCCCCATCTGATCTTTCATTATGACCATAGTTTCCTTTCTGTCTTTGAACATGTTTATAATAGCTGCATAAAAGACTTTATCTGCTAATTCCAACATCTGGGTTATTTTGTGTTATTTTTTTATTGACTGATTTTTATACTACTAATTGACATGTGTGTTGTCTTCTGTTTGGGGCTAACAAAAATAATACTGCTATGAATATTTTTGTACCTTTCTCCTGACTTTACCTGGAAGTAGAAGAGCTGAATTATAAGATATATGTATCTCCTACATTTATATAGAATATCAACAATTTATGAAAATCCTTACTTGACTTTTTAATCACATTTACATATTTTTAATTTCAAATAATATTAAAGGAAGGTCTAAGATTTTTATGTTTCCTCCCAAAAAGCACATACTTAATACAATGAGAACTGCTGTTTTCCATTTATAATTCAAAAACTATTTATTGAATACTTACTGTCAGTCATTGTTCAAAGACTTATTAATAAGATTACAAAATACGGCTTTAATATCAGGAGCTTACACTGTAGAGCTTTAATTTGTTTTATACAAGTAAATGGTTCTCAATCCCCGTTTGGAGCAGGATAATCACACCTAGACGTAGGGAATATGACCACACACAAACAGCTCATGCATGCACATATATTCTTAAGCTGCTTGAATACAATTTTCATTTTATATTGTTACGGTATAAATAAGTGGCATAAAATTTCTAAATTCTCATCTATCTATTAGTATTTAAAAAAAACAAAAATAAAGATGCCAAATACCTTTATCTCATAAACATTCAGTTGCTTGCTTTCTGCTATACCTTTTTTTTTCAAGGCCTTATTCTGTTAAAAGTAAAAATAAATATATTTAGTACTAAAGTTATTCAAACCCACCTTTCCACTGATTTTGACTTAAATTACTAAAGGAAGGGAAAGCATTATTCTCTAAAACTATGGTGAAAATATCAGTTTGATTTTGAGAATATTTATAAAAAAAAAATACATACCTCCTGCTGAAGTTCTTCAATACGTTTGTTTTTATTTTCAACTTGTTTCCTTAAATTGTTACGCTAAAAAATTATGAGAAATTACAACTATTTTATTCAGTATTCCAGTCAAAACAGGCAATTTCAGACTAATAAAAATATTGCATAATGTACTTATAAAGACCACTTCAAAATCATGGTAATTCCATTAATATAAAAATTATACTATAATCACAAATTTTAATAAAGATCATCTAAATACAAATGCAATCATAGCTCACTGCAACCTCCAACTCCCGGGCTCAAGTGATCCTCCCACCTCAGCCTCCCAAAGTGCTGGGATTACAAGTGTAAGCCACTATACTCAGCCTCAGTATCCCTTTTTTAAAAAAAAAATTATCTTTGTATATGAAATTATGAATATGTTAACTAGCATGATTTAATCATTTCACAATGTATACATATATCAAAACATCACTTTGTATGCCATAAATATATATAATTTTTCTCAGTTAAAAAAATCATTTTCATGTTGCTGCTTATATGTCAACATTCATCATTCTTATCTTTATGATGTTTTATCAGCTTTCCCAGTTTATCTTGAATTTTTTAAATTGTCGTATATAAACGTTTATAATCTATTAAATATAGCTTTCACAAACATTTGTTAATTCTGAACTTTGCAACCATCAGAAAAGGATAGCCATTATCTCCATTTGAGAGATGAGGAAACTAAGGCTCAGATAGGTAAAATGTATATAAAGTAACAAATGTCTGAATTAAGGTACCAGATTGGGGGGAAAAAGTATAATGAAATTCAATGTCATACAAAATATCTGGAAATATTTACAGCCTGGATTCTTTCTGGGAATCTGTTTCAACAAGTAAGTTGAAATCCAAATATGGAAAACTGAAATATGCTAAAAATTTGTCATGCATTTCATTTTTTTCCTTAAATCATCACTAATATTTTGTATATTGGCAAAATAAATTATGTTTTAAATTCTTAAGGGAGAATTTTATTTTATGTTAAAAATGAAATTCATGTTTTTCTCCATGACAAACAACAGGCTTAATGATCTGCAATGGCCTCTGTTACAAATTTTTAAGTAGTCAATTACATACCAAGTATTTAGTAGATTAAGTTCATTTTTTCAGGTTGAATTTAACTAATATATATGAACTAAAAGAAAAATCGCTTTTCAGAGAGGAAAATGTGATATAGTGTAAAGAATGCAGAAGACCAGCTCTGCTACTTTCTTAGTCATGTAATCTTTTGAAGGTTTTTATCCTTTGGAGGTCTGATTTCCCAATTCATAAAATAAGAGCAATAATGACTTCCAGTTAAGCAAGATAACAAGAAAGAACCTAGAATGCACTTGGTCTATTTAAGCCCTTTAAAATGTTAGCTCATCTCATCCTTGAACTATTCCAATAGTTTTACAGCTCTCAAAAGTGTAAATATAATTTTAACAATCCTCATGTCAAAATTCTTCAATGACCTCAAACTCCTAAATATAGCTTATGTGGCCTTAAATGATTCACCCTCATCTTTCCCCACCTTCATCTCTCCATGCTTACCCCTCCCTACCCTCATCTTTCCTCACTCTCCCCACTACCACCATTACCTTACACTCCATCTTTCAGTCACAATGAACTTTTTGTAGTTACTTAAATATGCCATGCTCTGATACTTTCAGACTTACCCATACAATGTTTATATATTTTCAACTTAGAATATTATCCTCCCTGCTATACTTGTGTCCACCACCTGCCCTCGACTAATTCCTATTAATCTAAGGCTTCACATTGAATGTGACTTCTTTCAGGAAGCATGCCCTAACTCAAGTTTGGATTACATGTTCTTTCTACAGACTCTAATAGTATCCAAATAGGGGGCCTCTGTTTTGGTCTGGCCAGCACCCTTTCCTACAAGAACTACTCTACTATAAAATCCACAGTAGTCCTGCTCAGGTCATGATATTTGATGGGGGCTAACTCTATCTCTGTGAATGGACATGCAGCTCAGGCTTAGCCAGGTTACTCTATCTCCTAGCTACAATGATTGGCTCAGGATTAAATATGAACTAAACTAGGCCAGAGTTCTCACCAAGATTTTTTTTAGAACTTTCAGGACTACTTTTAGTAGCCTTCCTACTAATTCCAATGCCTTTCATCTCTCCCCATTTCATTCTCAAATATTAAAAGGTGTCACCTCCCCATTAAAAAACTTTACTTAGATCACTACTATGTCCCAAATAAATGAAATCCAAATGTAACACCCAGAACAGTATCTGGCACATAGTAGGTGGTCAATAATATTTGTTGAACAAATGAAAAAAAATACAATCAAAGATCTCATAATCTAGATCGAGCTTTCTACTTTGGCACAATTTTCTTCCATTCTGTATAATATGTTCTATAATCATGTCACATACCTTGTACTATTCCATTTTTATGACATTCTTCCCTAAGAACCTTATTATCTTAATTTGTTATCATACTCACCAAAGCATGACACAAACTTATTAAACTATTTGTTATCCATATATTTTATATTACTAAAGTATGAGCCTTTTCTTTAGCCTAAAAATGTTAAGTATACATTAAATATTGTGCATATTTTAATAAAAAATCAGAATTATGCCACTATTTCTTCTAGATATAGATCACATATTAATAGTAAAATTATCCAACTTTTCCTAGATATTTAAGGTTGATGGCTGATGACAGTCTCTAGATCACTATTATTTGTACAACATTATACTTTTTTTTATTTTAGACAATGGTGTTGCTCTTATGATTTGAAATTTGGTAATAAAATTTATTATTAAATATAACATACATTTTCTTCACTCTTGTCCAATTTACATTTAACTTCATCTCTTTTCTGTTTTAGCTCTTCTCTCACATATTCCAGTTCATTTCTAAAAGAAAATGGAAGAGTGACATTATAATAAAAATTATTAGATATAAAGATCTCAAATAATCAAAATAAGGAAGTTTCAAAGACCACATTATTTAACCAAATGTAAAATCCAAAACTGAATACTTCAGAATATAAGTACAAACAAGAGTCCCCAAACATGTGGAAGTCATCTAAACAACTAATGGATTAAATGGAAACTTAAAATATAAAAACAAGTTAGTTAGAAAATAATGAACAAGGAAACATTACATATCAAACACTATGTTATAAATTCATCATTGTGTTCAGAAGTAAATTGATGGCTTTAAACGTTTTTATAGTTTTAAAAAAGAGAAAGATAAACTAAATATCAAAATACAAAGCAACAGGGGCAGAGCTGCCAAAGGCCAGAAGAGCCCACCCTTTGTACCAGTGTTCCCTGTATGTCACATATGGAGTCAAAGGAGATTATTTTGGAGCTTTAAGATTTAATGACTGCCCTGCTGAGTTTCAGATTTGCATGGAGCCTGAACTCAATTCTTCTGGTTGATTTCTCCATTTTGGAATGGGAGTATTTATTCAATACCTGTATGCCCATGGTATCTTGGAAGTAATTAACTTGTTTTGATTTTACAGGTGGAAAGGACTTGCCTTCTCTCAGATGAGACTTTGGCCTTTGGACTTTTGAGTAATGGTGGAATGAGTTATGACTCTGGGGAACTATTTGGAAGCCATGATTGTATTTAGGAATGTGAAAAGTATATGAGATGTGGGTAGGGGAGGTGCAATGATATAGTTTGGATATTTGTTCTCACCCAAATTTCATATTGAAATACAATCCCCAATATTGGAAGTGGGGACTGATTGGAGGTGTTTGAATCAGGGGCAGATCCCTCATGGCTTGAGGATGTTGGCAATAGCGAATTCTTGCAACATTTGGATGTTTAAAAGTGTGTCCTCCCCACCACTCTTGCTCCTGCTTTTGCCATGTGAAGTGCCTGCTCCTTTTTTGCCTTCTACCATGAGTAAAAGTTCCCTAAGGCCTTCCAAGAAGGTAAGCAGGTGCCATCACCATGCTTTCTGTATGACCTAGAGAACTATAAGCCAATTAACCTCTTTTCTTTAGAAATTACCCAGTCTCAGGTATTTCTTTATAGCAATACAAGAATGCTTAGTAGACATGCCTACAAGATCTGGAAAACAGCCTCAAAAGGGCAAATCTAAGAGTCATTGGACTTAAAGAGGAGGTAGAGACAGAGACGAGGGTAGTAAGTTGATTCAAGGGCATAATAACAGAGAACTTCCCAACCTAGAGAACCATCTAAATATTCAAGGACAAAAAGGTTATTAGAACATCAAGTATATTTAAACCAAAGAAGACTACCTTAAGGCATTTAAAAATCAAACTCACAGAGGTCAAGGACAAAGAAAGAATTCTAAAAGCAGCAAGAGAAAAGAAATAAATAACATGCAGTATGTCAGGCAGAAGACTTTTCAATGGAAACCTTACAGGCCCAGAAAGTGTCATGTCATATTTAAAGTGCTAAATGAAAAAGCTTAGACCCTAGAATAGTATATCCAGTGAAAATATCCTTCAAACATGAAGGAGAAATAAAGACTTTCTCAGACAAACATAAGCTAAGAAATTCCATTAACACCAGATCTGTCCTATAACAAATGTTAAAGAGAGTTCTTCCATCTGTAAGAAAAGAATGTTAATGAGCAATAAGAAATCATCTGAAGATATACAACTCACTGGTAACAGTAAAACCAGAGTATTATAACAATGTAATTGTGGACTGTAACTGGTCATATCTCTTTTTTAAGACAGAGTCTCGCTTTTGTCGCTCACTGCAACCTCTGCCTCCCGCGTTCAAGTGATTCTCCTGCCTCAGGCTCCTGAGTAGCTGGGATTACAGGCACCCACCACCACACCCAGCTAATTTTTGTACTTTTAGTAGAGACAGGGTTTCATCATCTTGGCCTGGCTGGTCTTGTACTCCTGACCTCTGGTGACTCACCTGCCTCAGCCTCCCAAAGTGCTGGGATTATAGGCATAAGCCACCACGCTCGGCCTATCTTAAATAGGAAGACAAAAAGATGAACTGATGAAAACTAATAACAATTTTTCTAGACGTAAATATAATAAAATATAAATAAAAACAACAAAAATTTTGTTGTTTTTATTTATATTTTATAGGGAAACAAAGCGTAGAGTTTTTATTCGTTTTCTCTTTGCTTGTTTATTTGCTTATGCAATCAGTTAACTTGTCATCAGTTTAAAATAATGGGTTATAAGATATTTGCAAGCCTCACTGTAACCTCAAATAAAAAAAATACACAACAAATAAAAATGAAAAAGTAGGAAATTAAAACATACCACCAAAGAAAATGCCTTTACTATAAGGAAAACAAGAAGGAAAGAAATAAGAAAGAAGAGACCACAAAACAACCAGAAAACGAATAACAAAATGGCTAGAGTAAGTCCTTATTTATCGATAACGTTGAATGTAAATGGACTAAACCCTCCAATCAAAAGACATAGAGCAACTGAATGGATAAAAAAACAAGATTCAACAGGCTGTTGCCTAACAAGAAACACCTCTTCACCTGTAAAGATACACAGACTGAAAATATAGGAATGGAAAAAGAAACTCCATGCAAACGGAAACTTAAAAAGAGCAGAAATAGCTTTATATATATATATTTGTTTATATGGCTATATTTACGCCATGTTATAGATTTCAATACAAAAACTATAAAAAGAGACAAAGAAGGTCATTATATGATGACAAAGAGATGAATTCAGCTAGAGAACATAACAATTATAAAGATATATACACACAACACTTGAGCACACAGATACATAAAACAAATATTATTAGAGCTAAAGAGAGATAGGTTCCAGTAAAATAACAACTGCTAACTTAAACACCCCACTTTCAGCATTGGACAGATCATGCAGACTTTGATCATCCAAAGAAACATCAAGCAATCTGCACTTTAGACCAAATGAACCTAATATATATTTACAGAACATTTCATCCAACAACTGTGAATAAACATCTTTCTCCTAAGCACATGGAACATTCCTAAAGATAGACCATATGTTAAGCCACAAAACAAGTCTTAAAACATTCAAAAAATTTGAAATCATATCAAGGATATACTCTTGACTACAATGAAATTGAACTGAAAATTAATAACAAGAAGAATTTTAAAAACTGTAAAAACACATGAAAATTTAAAAATATCCTACTGAATGTTTAGTGGGTCAATAAAGAGATTAAGAAGAAAATTGAAAAATTTATTGAAACAAAGGATAGTAGAAAGACAACACACTGAAACCTATGGGATACAGCAAAAGGAGTTCTAAGAGGTGTGTTTATAAGTGCCTATGTCAAAAAAGTTAAAAAAGTCAAACAACCTAATGGTGCATCTTAAAAAACTAGAGAAAGCAAGAGCAAACCAAACCCAAATTAGTAGAAGAGAAGAAATAATAAAGATCAGGGCAGAAACAAATAAAGAAAGCAATACAAAATATCAACAAAACAAAAGTTGTTTTTTTGAAAAGATAAAATTGACAAAACTTTAAGAAGATGAACTAAGAAAAAAAAGAGAAGACCCAAATAAATTTTAAAATGGAGATGAAAAAGGAGATAGTATAACCGGTATCTCAGAAATTCAAAGGATCATTAGGGGCTACTCTAAGGAACCACACGTCAATAAATTGGAAAACCTAGAAGAAATGGATAAATATCTAGACACACACAACCTAACAAAATTGAACCATAAAGAAATTTAAAATGTGAACAGATCAAAAGCAAGTAACGAGATCAAAGCTACAATAAAAAGTCTCCTAGCAAAGAAAAATCCAGGACCTGATGGCTTCACTGCTGAGTTTTTCAAAACATTTAAAGAAGAGTTAATATCTATCCTGCACAAACTATTCCAAAAAATAAAGGAGGAGGGATTACTGCTAAACTCATTGTGTAAGGCCAGTATTACCCTGATACCAAAGCCAAATAAAGACACATTAAAAAAAAAAAGGAAACTAAAAGCCAATATCCCTGATGAACATTGATGCAAAAATCTTCAACAAAATACTAGCAAACCAAATTCAACAATATAGTAAAAGGATCATTAATCAGAACCAAGTGAGACTTATTCCACAAATGTAGGGATGATTCAACATATATAAATCAATCAATGTGATACATCATATCAACACGCTATAGGGCAAAAACTATATGATCATTTCTATTGATGCTGAAAAGCATATGATATAATTCAACATCCCTTCATGATAAAAACCCTCAAAGAACTGGGTACAGAAGGAACATACTTCAACATAATAAAAGCCATATATGGTTGACCCACAGCTAGTATCATACTAAATGGGAAAACACTGAGGCCTTTCCTCTAAGATCTGAAACAAAACAAGGATGCCCACTTTCACCACTGTTGAATTCAACATAGTACTGTAGGTCCTAGCTAGAGCAATTAGAAAAGAGGAAGAAATAAGGGGCATTCAAATTGGAAAAGAAGGAAAATTATCCTTGCTTGCAGATAATATAATCTTATACTGGGAAAAGCCTAAAGATCCCACCAAAAAAACTATTAGAACTAATAAGCAAATTCAGGAAAGTTTCAGGAAAAAAAAATTAGTAGCATTTTTATATGCCAACAGCAAACAATCTGAAAAATAAATCAAGAAAGTACTCCCATTTACAATAGCTATAAATAAAATTAAACACCTAGAAATTAACCCCACCAAAGAAGTGAAAGATCTTTACAATGCAAACTCTATAAAATACTGACGAATGAAATTGAAGAGGACACAAAAGTAGAAAGATATTCCCTGCTCATGGATTGGAACAATCAATATTGTTAAAATGTCCGTACTACCCAAAGCAATCTACAGATTCAGTGCAATCTCTATCAAAATACCAATGACATTCTTCACAAAATTAGAAGAAAGAATCCTAAAATTTATATGAAACCACAAAAGACCCAGAATAGCCAAAGATATTCTGGGCAAAAAGAATAAAACTAGAGGAATCACATTACCTGATTTCAAATTCTACTACACAGCTATAGTAACCAAAACAGCATGGCACTAGTATAAAAACAGAAACACAAACCAATGAAACAGAACAGAAAACTAAGAAACAAATCCATATATCTGCAGTGAACTCATCTTTGACAAAGGTGCCAAGATCACACATTGGGGAAAGGATAGTTTCAATACACAGTGCTGGGAAATCTGCTAGATATCCATATGCAGAAAAATAAAATTAGACCCATATCTCTTACCATATATAAAAATCAAATCAAAATGTATCAATGACTTAAATCTAAGCTCTCACGCTATGAAATTACTAAAAGAAATCATCAAGGGAACTCTCCAGGACATTGGACTGGGCAAAGATTTCTTGAATAACATCCAGCAAGTACAGACAACCAAAGCAAAAAACAGGCAAATCAGATCACATCAAGTTAAAAAGCTTCTGCACAGAAAAAAAAAAAATCAGCAAAGTGAGGAGACAACCCACAGAATGGGAGAAAATATTTGTAAACTATCCATCTGACAAGGGATTAATACACATAATATATAAGGGCCTCAAATAACTCTATGGGAATAAATCTAATAATCCAATGGAAAAAAATGGACAAAAGATCTAAATGGGCATCTTTCAAAAGAAGACATACCAATGGCAAACAGGTATATGAAAAGGTATTGAACATCATCAATCATCAGAGAAATGCAAATCAAAACTAAAATGAGATATCATCTTACCCCAGTTAAAATGGCTTTTATCCAAAAGTCAGGCAATAAAAAATGCTGGTATGATGTGGAGAAAAGGAAACCCTCATACACTGCTGGTGGGAATGTAAGTTAATACAACTGCTATGGAGAATGGGTTGGAGGCTCCTCAAAAATAGAGCTACCATGTCATCCAGCAATCCCACTCCTATGTATACACCCCAAAGAAAGGAAATCAATGTATCAAAGAGATATTTGCACTCTGTTAATTGCACTGTTCACAATAGCCAAGATTTGAAAGCTACGTAAGTGTCCATCAACAGATGAATGGATAATGAAAATGTGATGCATATACACCATGGAGTACTATTCAGCCATAAAGAATAAGATCTTGTCATTTACAACAGTGCAGATGAAACTGGAGATCATTATGTTAACTGAAATAAGCCAGGTAGAGACAGACAAACTTTATATGTTCATGTATTTGAACGAGATCACACCACTGCACTCCAGCCTGGGCAAGAGAGCAAGACTCCATCTCAAAAAAAAAAAAGAAAAGAAAAGAAATGGTAAAATCACAAAAGACAAACCTTTCATATAATAAAAATTTCTCTGAAGTTAAAGGAAAACAACAGGTTAGGGAAAATATATGCTATAAATAAGCCACACAAAAGATTAATATATTTTTAGAAGCTTAAGCAAATAACCTCAAAAGATTAGAGGACAATGGGTATAAGCAGATAATTTTAAAAAGAAATTCTAAAATCAAACTTGAAAGCTTTGAAAGCTTACCCAAAAAATAAAAATCACAATATATAAAAAATGACTTATTCTTATCTTTTAAATTATGAATAAATTAAGAATACCCAATATTAATCAAAACATTTTAGGACCAGCATTTTCCTATAATATTTGTTGTATTGTATGGTTTTTAATTGATACAACCTATTGGAAACTATTTAACCATCAAACCATTAAAATCACTTTTACTATGATCTAATATATTCTACGCTTAAATCTTATCAAATTCAAAATAAGGAAAAAGTATTTATGTGCCAAAATGTTTACTAGTATTATTTATGACAATGAAAAACCAAAAATTTAAATATCCAAAAGAAAATTTGCTCAAATACTGTCATTACATCCACTTGAATAACTGGTAGATGGGCATTAGATGACTGTGTAAACACACAGAAACATTAATAATGTTAAAAATAATATTAAATGGAAAAACCACATGTAAAATTATATATATATAATTATAAGCAATGACCAAATACATGCTTTAAAATATAGAGTGGGTATAAATACTCCATTAGAATACTTCATATGATTAGAAGTAATTTTCAAAATTTCTCTTCTATATTTTAGGAAATGTAATTAGTATATTTTCTTAATTAAATATTAAATAATTAGAAAGTTTATGATGCTTTAAAATTTCTTTGTCTAATCTCACTAACTTTTAACACTAAGTATAAAATAGACATTATTATAATTTTATTTTTTGGCAGGATTCCACAACATTGATATATGTCTAATATTTACTTTATACAATATTCAACATCAGTTCAATTTAAATTAATGATAAAAGTTAATAGAAAAGAAATATCAAAATATTTTGCCAGATAAAAAAGGCCAATTTGTTAGTCTTGCCTTAATTGTGTTTCTGTTTCTTCCAGGTTTTCTATTTGTTTCAACATCCTTTCTTCTTGCTTTTTGCTATTCTAAAGAAATAATGTTGTTTATATCAATTATTTTGTTTTAACAAAAATAAAATTTAAACTACTATTTAAGACCTTTATCTGTTAGCATAAAATTTATTTAGCTATATATAAAGCAAAAAAAAAAAAAAATGAGCTTTTCAACTTGTATAGTTCCATACTACTTTTTAATCCTTACTTTATTTTCCCAACAATCTCTATATAACAGTTAACAAAACATGATTCATTTGGTTCCCAGTGCTAGAGTCTGTATCCTTTGTTCATATTGTCACTTCAAGTAATGTTTTCCATTCACTGTTACCTACTGAACTCAAATTCATCTTTAAAGACCAAAATCAATGCCATATTCTTTCTGAAGTCTTCTCTTTATCCAAAGTAGAAGTGATCCTGCGAACTTTGATAACACTTCGTCCCATTAACAACACATATGACAAACTAGTTTGCTTAAGTTATGTGAGAAATTACTGTTTTTATTGTCATAAGTTCTTAAAGAGAAAGGGTGATATTTTATTTATCATTGTATCCTCCACAATCTTATATGACTTAAATACCTATTGACTAAATACTTTTTTAAAATCTTGATGCTTAAAATTAGATTAACTTTTTTCTAGGAGTAGCCTCTACGTTAATCAGAGGGTAGTCTCTGTAGCACATTACCACCCTCTAAGACTAATATGCATATTTTTCTTCTAAAACAAAGTTTTAGCTCTAAAGCAATCAGACTTTAAAGTTCAAAGGATCTTTAGAGGTCATCTATTCTAACCTAACTAATTTAAAGGAAACTAAGTAACCAGCACTTTTTTGTCAACTCACATTAATATCTTCTTGCTGTTTCTTGAGTTCTAGGATCATATCACTTATTTCCTGTGCGAGTTCTTTGTTCTCTAGTGAAAGCTTGTTGCAGCATGAAGTTAATTCAGTATTCTTAAGCCTATTTTTTTAAAAAAAGTCATACCAAAATATTTACAAATGAAATGACATAATATGGAATTTAATTCAAAATAACGATAGAGGAAAGGGATGAAGGGCTTGAGGAAAAACACGAAACAAAATTGACCACTGGTTTATAATTCCTGAAGCTGCATGATAGGTTAATCATTACATTATTCCTTCTAATTTACATATTTTTGAAATTTTTCTTTAGTAAATTTTCAAATATCACACAATATATTTCCTTGCATGTTCCCTGTACTCTCATCCTTTCATACTTTCCACAAATTTTGAAGAGTACATTATTTTCTTCAATAATTTTTTCCTATCCATTAGACTGTCTTTTAGAAGTTATTTCAAACTTCTTATAACTTGATTAAAGCAGTACATGAGGCATGAGCTACTATAAAATAAATATTTTCATTAAAATAAATAAAACTAGGTTTAACTTTTGTGCACAACACCTAACTTGGTCTTAAAAGGTCTCAAATGTTCTACCTCGGAAGAGAAATTATTGCTGTATTGGTTTCATCCAGTATCAATTTTAAATGAAGCCAGAGGAATATGTGTCTCTACACAGTGATTTCAGAAGCATCTATTATCTATTTCTACTTAATGATACTGGAAATTCATTAAAGAGGAGATTGTTTCACTAAGCCATGAAAAGCAAATATATCAAGGGTAACATACATTTACACTAAAGCACAAATAACTAACCAGCCCATTCATTAAAAAGGACCTCTTTTTAGTTAAAATATAAATTTTATACATAAGTTCTATATATTAGTTAATATATGTTTTACCTAGGACCTTTAAAACAATACTATTAAAAGGGTACCAGAAATAGAGAATTAGATGAAAAGGGAGAGGATGCTGCATAAACTGTTTACTTCTCATATTTAATCTTGCACTGAGAAGCCACCAAAAAGGGAAAATCATGCTCACCACCATTAGACTGGCTACCTGAATTTACTTTTCTCTGAGTAATAACACAATAATAATTTCCCCCACTTTCTCTCCAAATTAAGCTTACTAAATAGGTAAAATCACCCAATTAAATATTTTATTCAGACAATGTAAGAAATGAATTTGTATTTTGATACTTTGTCAACAAAAACCTATGAAATAATTTAGCAAAACAACCAAAATAACTAGTTAGAACTGAAAATGATTATTTTTATGGGGAACTAAATACCTCTAAGGAAAGTAATGCATTGATGATCTAAAGTGGTTCTCAACTTTGGGGTGTACTCTTTTTTTATGTCAGTGATATGTACTTTCCTTAGCAATGAAATTGGCACATTATTTTGATCTTAAGCATAAAATGCAATTTCAAATCCATTCAAATAAATATTAAATATAATTTACTAAATTATTATTTATTACCAGAAACCTTAGGAATTGAGTGCGTAAGCTATTTTTAGATAGATGGAAAACATACTTCTCATTTTCAAGCTCAGTTTTCAGATCTGTAACCTGTTTTGAATAATACTGTTCACTCGTGGTAATGGCAGTTAACTGTGTTTCCAAATCATGTACGTCTTTCTGCAAAACACACATATATAATGAGGCAAGTGTTTTTCCAATTTTCTGATTTAAAAGGTACAGTCACTGTGTAATTAAGTCATATATTTAGCAAAAATTTGGCAGGTTATATCAAATATTTTAAACTTGAGTAGATTTAAAGTGAATAATCACTACAACGAACAATGACATATTCAATATAAGTAAATTCTATTTTGATACTGTAAAGTTCAACCAGTAAAATATTTATATATTATAAAATATTGTTACTACTCTACCAAGTAATTAATTTCAATTAAAATGTTATATTACCAAAGAGAAATATATTAATTGATGAAATCAGGTAGTATCTTAAAAAACTAAAATGTTCTTATTATAAAAAGACAAGATATAATACTGTCATGGACTGAAAACAAACTTTAAGATACAAATTCTTAAACTATAACATGAACACTATAAAAAGTATTATAAACTAAGAACCTAACTTAATGAAGGCTAAATTTCAAATATACCAATTAAGAAATACTTGGCTAGGCATAGTGGTGTGGTTCTACAATCCTAGCGACTTGAGGGGATGAGCCAGGAGGCCAGAAGTTCAAAACGATAGTGCACAATGATTGTGACTTTGAACTAGTGAGACACTGTCTCAAAAAAAAATACTGAAGACATCAAGAAATAGAACTATTATAAACCATAGCATAATGCATTGTGTTGATATTTTAAATGTTGATCTTTCTCACATTATAATATTTTATAATTTTATAAAATATATAAAATGTATAATATATTATAAAATTGTCTAGATGTGTTTTAAATCAATCATAAATATATTAAATATAATAATAAATGCTTTTGAAAGGAATTTTGTGAAGAAATTTTCACAAAACAATAATCCATAAATCTATATTATAATAACAAAATATTTAAAATAAAAATGTTTCCTTAAACAAACCTCTCTGGTTTGGAGAAGACCAATTAGTTCTTGTTTTGTTTCTTTTAATTCTTCAGCAATCTTCTCAAATTGTTCCTTTTCATATAAAAGCTTTTCCTTTTCTCCCTATTTATAAACATTAACAAATCAGGAGTGCCAAACCATACACATATTCAAAGTAATAGAACTGCCCAAATAGAGCTGTAGAAAGAACTATGAGCTTCCCCTTGGCCAAAATTCTTCAAAAAGAGATAGTCAACATTAAGTAAATTCAAAGACTAAACATGATGACAGAAAATTTAATGGACAAAGCCCTGGAACACAATCATTAATTCTTTAGTTACAGATGATTAATTTTTAATCATTCCTTTTACTATCCAACACAGCATATATTTATGAACTCACTTTTTACTTTGTCTTCCCAAGCATGACATCACAACAATTTTATAAAAGGTCTCACAATAAAAGGTTCTATATTATTAACTCTAAGGACTACTAATTGTAGTTAAAGGGTTTGAATTTTATCTATAGACAATGTGGAATCATCATAAGTTTTACTGTAACAATATCATCAGTATATTTGTGATTGTAAAAGATAACACTAGCAATAGTACTGAAGAAAGCTTAAGTAGGGTGAACCTAAAAACAAGAAAGCCAGTAATGAGACTACTGTGCAAAACAAATGCAAGATGAAAAGGGTTTAAATTATGTCAAGGACTATGGAGACAGATTGATAACAATAACCATGCTTACACGTTTTTGAATGACTTCTATATGACTAGCCTTCACTAGATGCTTAAAATATATTTTCATTCCTTATACTACTCTATGGAAGTTAGATGTTTGTGTCTCCATTTGACAGATCAAAAAATAGAAGCAGTCTTTTAGCTTTTAGTATGCCACTATAATCTCATGCCTAGAGATCAACTCTCGCACTGAAAACCACTATAAACTCTGGACAAAATATATAAATACATATAAATATATATGCTGTGTGTGTGTGTGTGTGTGTGTGTGTGTGTGTGTGTGTGTGTGTGTGTGTTGTAGACAGTGGGGGAGAGAAAGGGAAAGAAAGCAGGAGGGAGAGGGAGAGAGAGAGAAAGAGAGAGATAGAAAAAGACATATATATAACATAAGACTTTTAACAAGTGAAAAAAAAATTAACACAAGTGGCTGGAAGAGGAGCGAGTTTGTCAGTTTTGGGTAGCTTTGTCCCACTGGTGAAATGTCACTGCTAAGCAGTGTGGTATAGGCAGCTAAAACTACAATAGAAACCCCACCATCTCTCTTGCTGGAGGAAGCTGGTAGAACAACGGAAAGGAGCCCTGGGAACCATGACCAGCCGCCAGAATATGAAGAAGAAATCATACAGAGCAAAGAACCACTGAAAGTAATCTCCTGATTCTATGTATGAATACCACATAAATTTAAAAACAACCCATGAAGCATACATTCATTTACAAGTCAAAAGTAGTACATCAAAGGCTCAGAGAATTAAACTAAGATTTGAAGCACCATTCAGAGAAGGTGAAATAAAATTTATTTCTGGGGCCGGGCGCGGTGGCTCAAACCTGTAATCCCAGCACTTTGGGAGGCCGAGGCGGGTGGATCACGAGGTCAAGAGATCGAGACCATCCTGGTCAATATGGTGAAACCCCGTCTCTACTAAAACGACAAAAAATTAGCTGGGCATGGTGGCGCGTGCCTGTAGTCCCAGCTACTCAGGAGGCTGAGGCAGGAGAATTGCTTGAACCCAGGAGGCGGAGGTTGCGGTGAGCCGAGATCGCGCCATTGCACTCCAGCCTGGGTAACAAGAGCGAAACTCCGTCTCCAAAAAAAAAAAAAAAAAAAAAAAAATTTATTTCTGAATCTAGCAAGCTGATAATAAAACAAAAACATTTACATTATTCAGACGAATATAATAACCTTAACAATGTTCTGAATATAATCCGAAATTACTCAACATACAAAGAACTGGTAAAATGTCAACATTCTCAAGGGAAAAGGCAACAAATATATGCTAACTTCAGTATAACCAAGATGTGAGAACTTTAACAGATGGGAACTTTAATGCAGCTAATTCAATTATACTCAATCAGGTATAGGAAATATTCTTAAAATGAATAAAAAGATAGAAAATCTAAGGAAAGAAAAAGAAAATAAGAACAAATGGAAACTTTAGGACTGGTAAAAAATTTGTGGGGTGCTTACAGGGGCACAATGGAGATTATAAGGAAAGAGACATTGAATCTGGCTATCAGAACAACAGAAATGATAGTCTGAAGAACAGAGAAAAAATATTGGAATAAAATAAATAGCACCTCAGGAACCTGTGGAATAATCTGAAAAGACCAAATCAATGTATAATTGTAATCTTAGAAGGAGAAGACAGAAAAAATAGGGCAGAAAAATATTTAAGTGGCCATAACTTCCCATATCTGAAAAAAGTTAAAAATTTACAGATTTGGGCCAGGCACAGTGGCTCATGCCTGTAATACCAAAACTTTGGGAGGCCGAGGTGGGCAGATCATGAAATCAGGAGTTCAACGCCAGCCTGGCCAATACAGTGAAACCCCATCTCTACTAAAAATACAAAAATTAGCTGGGCATGGTGGTGGATGTCTGTAATCCCAGCTGCCGGGGAGGCTGAGGCAGAAGAATCACTTGACCCAGGGAGGCAGAGATTGTGGTGAGCCAAGATCACGCCATTGCACTCCAGCCTGGGCAATTAGAGTGAAACTCCATCTCAAAAAAAAAAAAATTTACAGATTTATGAAGTGCAGTGAATCTCAAATATAATAATTCAACTTCACTTACATACTGCTGAAAAATCAAAGTTAAGGAGAAAATCTTGAAAGTATGTAAGTTTCTCATTAGAAAACAGAGGATCAAAGACAATATGACATCATCTTTAAGGTGCTGAAAGAAAAAAAACGGTCAACCAATGATCCTATACCTAAAAAACAGAAAAAAAAAAAATCCTTCCAGAAATAAAGAGTAAATAAATAATATATTCAAAACGAAAAACTAAGAAAATTTGTCAGCAACAGAAAATTTGTCAGCACTACAAGAAATACTAAAGGAAGTTCTTTAGGCTGAACGAGAACATTATTGGAGGTAAATGTGGATCTTCAGGAAAAAAATGAAAAATATCACAACTGGTAAATATTGGAGTAAATATAAAAAAATCATTTTCTCCTCAAGTTATTTAAAAAAAATGTATGACTACTAAAACAAAAATTATAGCACTGTCTTGTCAAAATGTAAATGCATGTAGGTGTTATATATGACAACTCTAGCATAAAGGACAAAGTGGGAAAAGGATATAAATCGTCAAAAAGTTTCAACATTTAACATGAAGTGGTACAACATTAACTCAATATAGACAAGGTAATGGATACATGTTATAACCCCTAGAACAGCCACAAAAATAAATGCAGAGAAGTATAGATAAAATACCAGTAGAAAAATGGAATACCAAGAAATGTTCAAATAACCAAAAAGGAGGCAGAAAATTTAAAAGAGAAACAAAATAAAAGGAGCAAACAGAAAACAACTTTTAAATGGTGAATTTAATCTAAGCTACATCAACACTTAAACAACAATTTTTAAATGTATCAATGGTCTAAATTAGCAGTGATTGTTGGAGTGCGTAAAGAAGGAAGACCCAATTATATGCAGGCTACATATAAACACATATGTACAAATAAAGTCAAATATAGGTGGAAAGCTAGTTAAGAAACATGGAGTGGCTATAATAATATGTTAAAATAGACTTCAGAACAAAAGAATATTATCAGAAATATATCAGAGGGCATTTAATTATAATCAAAGGGTCAATTCATCGAGAAGATATGGTAGTTATATATAAATGTGAAGCTTATAGTGGAAGTTCAAAACACGACGCAATCACTGATAGAATTAAAGAGATAAACAATTCCAAAATCATACTAGTTTTAACACTCTTCACTCAATAAATAATAGAATTAAACACAAAAGTTCAGTAAAAATCATATATTTGTACAACACCATCAGCCAACTGAATCCAATTGACATCTATAGAACACTCTACCTAACAATAGCAGAATACATATTACTTTCAGTGCACATGAAACATTCACTAAGATATATCATATCCTGATACATGAAACAAACCTTAACAAATTTTAAAAAATCAAAGTACATTTTCTGACCATAACAAAGTTAAACTAGAAAAGAATAACAAAAAACAACAGGAAATCCTCCAACTGCATGTAAAATAAACAACAGACTTCTAAATGGGATTTTAAAAAATCCTCAAGAGAAATTTTAAAACATTTTAACCTAAATGAGAATACAACATATAAAAATTTGTGAAATGCAGCTGAAAAGGTGACTAGAGGAAATTTATAGCATGCAAATGCTTATAGAAAAGAAAGGTCTCAAAACAGTCTAAACTTTCACCTTAGGAATCTAGAAAGACAGCAAAATAAACTCAAAGCAGCAGAAGGAAGGAAAAAATAAAGATATGAGCAGAAAACAATGAGATTGAAAACAGAAAAACAATAGAAAGAATCAATGAAATAAAAACTAATTATTTGAAAAGATCTATAAAATTAAGAAACTTCTATCAAGACTAACAAAAAAGGGGCCAGGCACAGAGGCTCATGCCTGTAATCCCAGCACTTTGGGAGGTCAAGCAGGTGCATCGCTTGAGGTCAGGAGTTCGATACCAGCCTGGCCAACATGGTGAAACCCCATCTCTACTAAAAAATACAAAAAATTAGTAGGGTGTGGTGATGCATGCCTGCAATCCCAGCTACTCAGGAGGCTGAAACAGGAGAATCACTTGAACCTGGGAGGTGGAGGTTGCAGTGAGCCGAGATTGTGTCACTGAACTCCAGCCTAGGTGACAGAATGAGATTCCATCTCAAAAAAGACAAAAAAGAGAAATAACACAAGAAACACTATCAGTAATAAAAATAAAGTAATCCTGCAGACCCTACAGATATTAAAAAGGATAATGGGGAATGCTACAAAAAACTCTATGCACAGAAGTTCGACAACTTGGATGAAATGGACTAATCCCTTTAAAACCAAAAACTACCAAAATCATTCAAGATTAAACAGGTAACCTGCACAGTTCT